TATGTGTATATATATATATATATATATATATATATATATAATTTGTGTATGTATGAGTAAAATAGCAATTATGGCACTCATCCAGTCAGTAAATGAGTCAGTAGATGATTCAGTTTCTTTCTTTCTTTGTTTTTTTGACCAATTCAAGAAATGGTCCATAAGAATAATTCATAAAAAAAAAGTTAATAATTTTTATCAAATTAATAGCAATTATGACATCCAGTCAGTAAGTGAGTCTGATTCCGATTCATGGAGTCATTTGTCAGACCAGTTCAAGAATCTGTTCATAACAGTCAGTTGTTTTGATCACATTTTAGGGTTCGTCTTGAATTAAATTAGCATTTATGGCAGTAATTTTGTCAGTCAGTGAGCCATTTACCACTTTTTTCTTTGTTCATAAGAATAATTTCTTTGTTCGTAAGAATCAATCATGCTGTTTGTTTTTTCTCACTTGCAACATCTCAAGCACAATGTAATGTATTTTGTCGCAGCGCTGCAATAAATGCTGATACATTCAGCCAAACGCATTACACGTTTTTCTTTTTGCAGCGTTCCAGTTCAGATGTTTCACAACCTCAAAACTACAGGCCTGTGAAATTTTATATGCATGTAAACCTTTGCGCTGAGTCAGATTATGCCCTCATTGTGTTCCCCTATAAAAGGTTTTACTGCACGTATGTGCTGAACCTCTGAACCGTGGCGTTACAGATGTGGCTCTGTTTTATTCAGTTGTAATATAGATTCTGGAAGTCTTCCCTTGGCACGTTGCAGTGCATGTCGCAGGCGGTTTCAGAGGAGGAAACAGGGAGCCATTTAGCTTGAGGAACAGCTGCAGATGTGAGCCGTCCCCGGTGGGACATTATATCAGCGCTGCGGGCCTCGCAGAGCCCTGGAACGGGGGCCACATGTGTCCTGTGATGGGCTGGTGAGGCTGCGGGACGGTCCGCGCATCGGGACAGAGGTTAACAGGGGTCACGCAGGGGTCTAGATGAACTCGGTGCGGCGCTTTGGTGTGATTACCGCGTTCCTCTTCAGGGATCATGGGACGGATGAACCTTGAGTCTGACCCTTTGTAGAAACTGAAACTAGATGTTTTATCACACTTACTAGTAGGGCTGGGCGATATGGCCAAAAATATTTTTCCATATCATACAATATTAATTTACCATTAATGGGGGAAGGAAATGCTTTCCACATGTTTGTTAGTTGTTGTTCACAATTGAACTCCACAGAGCTACCTTTTAATTTCGGGGCCCCCTGACATTGGTTTTGTTTTCCCCTAAATTCTGTTTTCCATTTTTATTTTTTCCCGGATTCTGTGTTTTATGATTCAGTACAAGTTTATCTTAAAAAAAAAAAAAAGGTGTCTAAGTAAATGAATTTTTAATGTAATCAAATGAAAAAATAGTTAATTTACAACAAAACATTGCATTTTTTTGGTCAAATAAATGCTGCACAACAGCTCTGTATAACTATATAAATTAATGAAAAAATACCTTGGTTGTATGATATACCTAAAAAATATTATTGTTATTATTTTGATTATTAATACTTGAGAATTACATTTTAGTATACACTAATAATATATTTGTCATAATTTCTTCAAGTTAAACCAGACTTTTATTTTGACAGTGTTTAATAAATGTTTTGTAATATAAGTCATCTAATATAATAAAATATTCGTAAATTATAAAAAAAAATATTATTTTTTTTTTATTCACATATATATATATATATATATCATGCTGTGACAACTTAAAAAAAAAAAAAGTTACACTTTAAAATATCTCTCGAGACGAAACTGCTGCATTGCGTTTCGTCCAGCTGTGTCTGAACATCATAATGCATCTCCGCAGACCTGTGCTTTCTGCTGTGGATAAGCGTGCTTTCCTGCAGACGATCCGTCTCACTGCTGTACGCCGTGATTACACGCATTATTTCTGGGGTGAAGCGTTCATTTAACGGGGTCCCGTCTGAGATGTATGCATCTCTTCTGTTCGGTTTGCAGCCGGGGAATCCGTCATAAATAGAGCAGGTTTCAGCACACATCTGTAAGGTCATTGATGGCTCACAGCGGTGCAGCTTTGAGGGTTGATAATAGCACAGATAAAGATGAACCTCCCAGCCGCGTCATTCATCTGACCACCCTCCCGCTGCCAGACCCTCTTTAGTGTCCCTGGTTCCTTAGTGCTCAAACAATCGACTGGTAAAATGCTTTGATTGGGTCGTTTGGGAGTAAAATGCTCTTTAAGACCATGCATCTATCAGCACCGCAGGGCTTTTAATAAACATCATGTGTCAAAGGAACATAAAGCAGAACTGTATAGTTTTCATTAACAGAGACCGTGTTCCCTTGACCTCACACACCTCACAACAAACTGAGTTCACTAGTAAGGGTTCACTAGTAAGGGTTAGGCGGTTAGTAAAGGTCACCTGGGTAAGACAGTACATAAATTAAATGTTTCCTACCTGACTAAAAAACAAAAACAAGACATATGAAAATTATTTTTCACATGCATAGCTGCACTGCTAAAAATATTAAGTAAAATGTATTTATTTTATTTGAATTTGATTAATTTATAATTGATTGAACTTTAATAAAATGTAAGTAAAATATGTAATATCTTGTATGATATTTTATATATATATATATATATATACACACACACACACACATATATAATATAAATTATAATGTAATATTTTTATATATATTAAAAAACAAGACATGAGAACCATTTGCACTGCTAAAAATGCTATTTAAAATTTAAAAAAAAAAAATTTTATATTGAAAATGTTATGTATTTATTATTCGTTTAATTATAAATAAACATTTTTAAGTATAAATAAAATATGATAAATTAAATGAAGCCTATTGTCTCCCCAAATTCTCAGTAATGTAACGCATCCAGTTTCACTTTTGTAATTTGTATTATTCTAAATGATTTTCTTTAATACAAAGATTTTATGTAAATTAAGTCTTTTTTTTTTTTTATCTAAAAAAGCTTTACGATAAATACTACCATTATATATATGCTGCTGTTCAAAAGTTTGCGATTTGTAAGATTTGGTCTCTTCTGCTCACCAAATCTGCATTTATTTGATCAAAATATATTATTATTGTTAATAATAATACTGAGAGAATTACATTTTCGTATACAATAATAATATATTTGTCATAATTTCTTCAAGTTAAACCAGACTTTTATTTTGACAGTATTATTATTGTTAATAATAATAATAGTAATAATAATACTTGAGAATTACATTTTAGTATGCAATAATAATATATTTGTCATCATTTCTTTCATTTAAATCAGACTTTTATTTTGACAATATTATTATTGTTAATAATAATAATAGTAATAATAATACTTGAGAATTACATTTTAGTATACAATAATAATATATTTGTCATAATTTCTTCAAGTTAAATCAGACTTTTATTTTGACAGTATTATTATTGTTAATAATAATACTGAGAGAATTACATTTTCGTATACAATAATAATATATTTGTCATAATTTCTTCAAGTTAAACCAGACTTTTATTTTGACAGTGTTTAATAAATGTTTTGTAATATAAGTCATCTAATATAATAAAATATTCGTAAATTATAAAAATATTTTTTTTTTATTCACATATATA